TCCCTTTATTTCTGTTTACCTGAAAGTGTCCAAATTTTGCCATCATATTTAAGAAACAGTTTTGCAGGACATACAATTTTAGGTTGGCAGTTTTTTAAATTCCAGAGTTTTTATGTTATCCCATTGTCTGCTTGTCTGCATGGTTTCTGCTGGACCTTTGTCTTACTTGTTCTCCTTTGTAAGGAACGTTTCATTGTTCTTGAGCTGACTTCAGGATTCTTGCCTTGCCTTTGGTTTCATAAAGTTTGATTATGATATATTTTGGTGATTTTCTTTTAGGGTCGATCAGGTTGCAAGTCGTTCTGCTTCTTGAATGCATATCCTCTCATCTTTCATGATATTAGGGATGTTTTCTTCCAACAAATCCTTGTCAATGTTCTCTGTGTTTTTTTCTGTTTCTCTTTTTTGTTCTGGAATTCTGATCATATGTAAGTTATTTCTCTTGGTGGTGTACCACATAATCTCAGGCTTTCTTTCTTTCTTTTTTTTTTTTAATTGTTCTTTTTTCTGATTGTTTCTTTTGTTGATTTTATTGAACAATTTGTCTTCACTTTCACTAATTCTATTTTCTATCGATTCAATTCTACTCCTGTGCCCTTTCAATGTGTTAGCTATTTCTGAAATCTTAATAACAACCTGGATATCTGTGTGCCATTTTTGTGTGGTTTGCAAGTTTTTGTTAATTTTGTCGGTTTGTTTTAATAATATTGTAGAAGTCTTCCAGAGTTTTGTATGTGTTTTCCTTGATTTTGCCTGTATTTTCCTTGAATTCTTAAATACCATTCTTTTGAATTCCTAATTAGGTAGTTCCAATGCCATTTCTTCTTGAGGAAGGTTTTCTGTCTGTGCAGTTTTGCCACTTGTTTGAGGTACGCTGTCTTGGGGTGGGTATGCTACTCTGCTTCCTAGCTTGGCAGCATTTAATTGCTTACCACCTGTCTCTCTCGTGGTATGATAGAGGATTAGAGTATATTTGCATTTCTCCATTTGTTGTTCGTGTATCATAGTTGAGGGCATGTTGATTTTGGTATTGTCTGCTGTCTGTCATTGATTAAATGGTGTAAAAGCACAAGATTGGGTGGTGGTCTTCAGAAGGTGTAGGAGTGGCTGGACTATGTGGGCATGATTATTGTCTTCTGCTGGGTGGATAGGGAAAAAAAGGAAAACAAAATAAAACATCATCTTTAAAAAGGAAAAGAAAGTGACAAAAGCAAAGATAGTAGAGAAAGATAAAAGTTAGGGATGGGGAAAAGAATAGTATTGCATAGTAAAGGAAAAAAGGAAGGGGAAATAAGAAAGGGAAGAGAAAAGAAAAATAAGAATAGGAAAAGAAAAAGATAGGAGAAAATTGGTTGGGCAGACCACCTTGTGTTGTTATTGCTGGATGAAGAGGCAAGCCAGGGTCTGGGCACCTGGTGTGGGTCAGCTCACTCTGATGGCTAAGGAGTCAGAGAGGTTAGTGCACCTAACCTGGCCTGGCAATGCATGTTCTGCTGTCCTGAAGAGATGGAGAGCATGTGCCTCCAAATTTGAGTGTACCTGATCCACGGTGGCATACCTCCAACTTCAGGTGAAACGGGCTGTGTAAGGAGGACACTCTCACTGGCCACTGGGTGGATGGTGGATGGCCACAATTTTGGTCACTTGGATGGTGTGGGGAATAAAGGAAAGATTGCACCTTTCTGGTCACCAGCTACAGGTGTGAGTGGAGCTGATTACCAGATTGCTATGTGATTGGAATGCTGCTTGCAAAAATTCAAAATAACCATGCTGTGTCAGGCCAGTAAACAGTTCCTGTCCCAATTATCTCCTTGTTTGCTGTTTTCATTCCATTTCTGTTTCGGACTGATATTCAGTCCATTTCTTTATCCTTGCCTTTGAAGCTCAGGGTTGTAGGATTATCATCAGTGTCTCTTTCATTTGGTTTGCTGTGTCTTTGTTGTATAGGATCTAGATCAGCCTTGTTTACCATCTGACGGAAAGACCTCAATGAATTTTTTATTAAAAAATGAAAAAAGTATGTATGAAGTAAATGTGACAAAATCTTGATAGTTTGAGTGGTGCATGTACAATGGGCATGAATTCTCTAGAGTTTTCAGTCCATTTAAAGCATTATATATTGCACAATTTTAAGGAAGGAAAGCTGATGTGTTGTACTGAGGACACATCATTTGTTGGCAGTATTCCTGACTACAAGACTAAATTTGAGTCTAATAATGAGGAAACAACAACAATAAAACTCAATTTAAAAACATTCCATGAAACAATAGGCCTGTACTCTTTCAGAAAGTCAGTGTCATGAATGACAAAGACTGAAGAACTATTTCAGGTTACAGTGGGTTAAAGGAAATGACAACTAAATGCAATTTATGATCATATTTTGGGTCAGTTGGCAAGATTTGAATATGACTCTATATTAGATAATAATGTTGCATTGATGTTAAATTTCCTGAGTATGGTCATTGGTCTTTGGTTGAGAGGATGTTTTTGCTCTTAGAAGATACTTGCTGAACTATTTAGGAATGAAAAATAATATGCCTGCACTTTACTCTAATGTGGTTCAGCAAAAATGATGAGAGAGTGTGTGTACATGTAATGGGAAAGAGAGAGAAGCAAATGTGGCAAAATGTTTCCAGTTGATGGGTTTAGAAGAAAAGGATACAGGAGTCCCTTGTCTAAATTTGCAGCTTTCCTTTGTATTTGAGAAGCTAAACAATTAAAAACTGACATGGGGCTTCTAAGGCAAGATGTCAGAGTAGGCAACTGCACTGAGCAACAAAGATAAGTTTGAAGCAGCAAGTGAAGCATCAGAGGATAGAACAGAGTGTGGTGGATAGAGTGCTGACTGGAAGAGGAAGCTCAACAGGAGTGATGAGAGAGAAGAAAAATAGGCATCTTGTCACTTGGCGTGCGGTGGTACTACCATCTTTAGTTTTTGTAAGTGGTTGCAGATATAGTGGTAGTGGCCACAGGACACAGCTGGAAGGTGGAGGTAAGGGAGTGCAATTCCCCCTTGTTCTTCTGCCCTCCTTGTGGCCAGAGGCATGTCCAGTGATACACCCTCCTGGGGGTGCCTCAGCTCTACCTGGGATCTGGCGCCACGGATAACACCCCTATTTCTGGAGGCATGTGAACCCACCTTAAACTATGCTACACAAACATCAAATGGTGAAATTGCGTTCACACTTCTGGTCTCTGCCACATCCACCAGGAGACAGGTGGTGAGTAGCTGAGATTACACCAATATGCCATCATTAATTAAAATGATTTTAATTTATCATACAAATATGATACCACAATGTCTTGGGGAAAACAGACAGTTTCAGCTTACATGAAGAAACAAGACACAGTGGCCAAAATAGAGTCAGAAAATACAACACCAGAAATAGTATCTGATCTACCTGATAAGGAATTTGAAATAATGCTATTTAGGTATCTTCAGTGAATTGAGAGAAAAATGGGTGAAAACAAGGAGAACACAAAATAAAACTTTAGAAGAATCCAGGAAAACACTACAAGAATGATCTAACAAAATAAATGAAAAATTGGAAACCATACAAAAACAGCAATTAGAAAGTCAAAAGATGAATACTGAGACTGCAGAAATCGTACATTGAAAGGGTAGAGAAGTGGAATTGAATCAATGTAAGGCTAAATGATTGAGCTTGAAGATGAATCTTTGAATACTCATCTTCAAGAGGAACAATTGGAAATAAGAATGAAAAAAATCTGAATAAAGCCTAAGATTTGTGTTGGACAGTTTCAAGAATAGCTTACATACGATTGGAATTCTAGAACAGGAAGAAACAAACGAACAAAAAACCCATAGTGAATATTGTCCAAAAGTTGTTGGAAGAAAACTTCCCTAGCATGAAACACAAGAAAATAGCCATTCAAAAAGTTAAACTAACTCAAAACAGGACAGACCCCAAAAGATAATCACCAAGACATATTATTATAAAGTATTGAAAAACAAAGATGAAGAAAGAATCCTGAGAGCGCTCAGGAAAAACAAATTTTACCTACAAAGGAGATCTAATAAGACTAAGCTCTGATTTTTTATCAGAAACTGTGCAGACAAGAAGATAATGAAATGACATATATAAAACTCTGAAAGTCAAAAATTTCCAACCAAGAATCATATACCTGGCAAAATTGTACATAAATATCATGGCAAAATGACATTTCCAGATAAATAAAAATTAAAAGAACTTGCAAAACCAGACTAACCTTATAAAAAATACTATAGGGAGCTCTTTTGCCAGAGAACCAACAACAGCAGACAACAACCTGAGACTAACATACATGACAATATCACCCAGAACTCAACCCAAGTATGTTGTTGTTACATGCCATCGATTTGGTTCTGAATCATAGTAACCCTGTGTAGAGTTTGTGAGGCACAAATGCTGGGTTAAGCTACCAGCCTTGTGGTTAACAGTCCAGTGCTTACCCTACAGCGCCACCTCAGGACTCAGATATGGAAGTATTCAAAGTAAAGCAAATGTACAAGATTGAAAACAGAAACTAGAGCTACCAGTTTACAACAATAGCAACCAAAAAACATAAAGAAAAAAGAAGTAAGAATGTAGTTATAGAACTTCAAAGAAGTGAAAATCAGTAATTTCAAGAAGAAAAAAAAATCATAATCATAATAATAAACCTAACTGTAACCCTAGAACTAGACCAAACTTTACCACTAACCTTGCCTAAACCTAACCATAGTCTTAACCGTAACTTTGTACTCCTACACATCCCACACTACTCCACACCACCCCAATTAAAAAAAAATAAAAACTGAAGTAGAACCTAAAAAGAAAAAGCAAGGAATACCAAAACATTATACCCTGTGCTTGGCAGAGAAAAGTAATTAAGACCCGTATTCCAGTCTTTTCAAGGTAATTCTCAAAGAACTTGCCTTTGACTAGCACCACCTCAGCTCAAGGTGACATGATTTCATTGAGAGAGTTTTTATTTTTATCTTTTTGTTTTCTCTGCAGGTGAAATCAGAAGCCTCCTGGGACTCTGCAGTACATAATTGTCCTCAACTCAGTAAAGGCACTCCTTCAGATGAGCGACTGTTTCTCATTGTGCGAGTGACAGTCCAGCTCAGCCATCCCGCTGACATGCAGTTGGTATTACGAAAACGAATTTGTGTCAATGTTCATGGCCGGCAGGTGAGTCATTAATCCAGGTAGAAGGAATGACTTTAACCATAGATCCAACACATGGGCAGGAAAGTGCTCTTAAGTCAGTTCCTATTCATAGAAACCCTCCAGTATAAGATTTCTGAGGGTTGACTGATGGGCTTAAGCCACCCTCCTTGTGGTTAGCAGCCCAGTGATTATCCTACAAAGTCATACCATGCTAGTTTCAGGCCTCTAACATGTCATCTTGAGTTCATCCTAGAAAGTATGAATTTTATACTGACTCTTTCATATGAGAAATTTCACAGTCATTCTTTTGGGGGGGTCACATAGCCTTGTTAAGGAGAACTTTATTTTTGTCTTTTGATCTGGGTAATACAAAATGAGAATATTCACTGGCAAGATAAGCTGTTTTATTCATTAGCATTGTGGGTTTTTTTTAATGTTTTATTGTGAATTATGTGATAGTTTACATGGGAGAACATTAGTTTTACATTCATTCTGTCGTATATCGTCTCATTGCCATGGTTACA